ACAAATAGAAGATAGAGTTTATTAGAAGTTAAGATGTTTTTAGTTTAATATGTATATTTTTATTGCTAAATTTTGTTTGTAAATAAATAAATTTGTAAAAAAATACCAATTTTGTTTCTTTTTTTTTAATATCAAGTTATGTTTATAAGAAAATTTTGTTAAAAAGAAATACATTCTGTTTCTACACTAAACACCAACAAAATTTTAGTCAGAAAAATATGCAAAATACAACATGCAAAATATTAAAAAGATTTGCAGCTGTGAGGATGTTTATGATTCTCCGTGTCAAAATAATATTTTATTGCCTGTTAAGATATTGTGAATACTTTAAATTGCAGTTAATAATTTTCATAATAATCAACAGTAATCAATAAATTAGGGGGTATCTAATAAGTAATTACAATATTTTCGTAAAATAACTTAAAATCAAATTTTCACTTTGTATGTACTTTAGTGATATGCCTTTATCTGTTAATTAAACATTTATGTTTTTAATTGAAAGAATCTTATTTTTAATGAAAATAAACATTTTACTATAAATTTTTTTTATTTTTATGTTTATTTTATAATTTTACTTTTATTATCTCATGATGGTAGAGTTATTTTTCATGCTTAAACTGGAAATATTATGTACTATAAACATTTTAAATTTAGTTGTTATTTCATTTCTTTCAGTATTACTTTGGTGCTCTACCAACTATCATATGTTTACATTGTCTACTGTTAAAATATAGTTTTAACCTTAAGAAATTAGTTTCTTACAATCAAGGTAAGAATAATTTTATTTTTTTGTCAAATTACAAAATTTATTTGCACTGATAACTTTTGTTTTTGTTATTTTGTGTAGTTGGCTTTGCAATAAATGGCTTTTCTTTCAAATTTTGATTATTTTTAACAATGCTCTAGAAAAAACATCAGCAACAGGTAAATTGGTTTGTAGTGTTAATATGTAATGTTTTTACTTCTTTTATTATATCATAATTTATTTTTTTTTCATTTTAGATATATCTTACAATGTTTTTTCAGCATATTGCAGATCAAATAGAGGGCCCACATCTCACAAGGCACATAAGGTGTAGGCCCAAATTTAGGGCAAAAGCTCAAGTAATTAAAAATATCTTTTATTTTACAAAGTTACATTACTGTTCATAATTATTCAAATGACACTAACCTTTTTAAAAATTGTTATTTTTTATTTAATTATTTTTTATGTTTATTTTTGCACCATTTAATTTAAAAAATAGATAATTTAAAAAAAAGGATTTTTGATTGAAATGCTTTGATAAAAATTACAAGAATAATAAAAATGCTAAAGTGGGCAAAACTACATGAAAGATGGACCATTAATGACTGTAAACATGGACAAAAGTGTTGAAGTTTTAAATCTTTGGTTTCAAGAGAGAAGATTGTTTGAAAAAAAATTGTTGAATGTATAGTAATAGTGTGTATTATTGACTGTAAAACATGGTGGATGTAGTAGTGTTAAGAAGTGGGGCTGTTTTGGGCGGAATGCCACAGGTGACATTGTAAAAACGAAGGGAATAATAACAAAAGCAGTTTACTTGGACACCTAAAAAGTCATTTTATTCCTTTGGAAATTTGGGTTAATGGCAAACCTTTTATTTTTTTAGAAGAATATGACTTAAAACTTAAATCCAAAACATTTTCTTCAAAGTATTGTATAAGTTATTTGACTGAGTTCAAGAATGATTAAATATTGAATAAAATGATTTAGCCTCCTTAATCAAAAGATCTCTCTCCTATCAGATTTTTATAGGATTAAAAGAAACTTCAAAAGCTTATGCCAAATGATACATAAGATGTATAAAAATCTTATTAGTTAGTGGCATAAAAATGACTTCAACAAATTGGGTAAGTCATTAAGTAGAATACCAAGAATATATATAGTTGTTATTATCGCTAAGGGTGATTGATGGGCAAGTAAATTATAAACTAATCTAACTTTAATTTTATTATTTTTGTAAACCTAATATTTCAGTTTTTCTCCCAATAGTAAATTAAACTTTGATATTTTATGTCAAAAAGTATGACCATTCAAATAATTATGGATGGTAGAATATTAAGCATTTTTTGAAACCTCAATCCGAAATGATTTGCATTTTTTTTATGTGAATGAAAACCTATGCAAATATCTAACATGTAAACTTCAAGTTCTGTAAATTATTAAAAATTATATTAAATTTTAAAGATTTACTTTTACTTGAAAATTTAATTGCAGCAATATCTCCTTAATTTTGATTTATATGATTTTGTATGCTGTTTTATAAAGTTTAATAAGTCTTTTGTTTTTTAAACAGTGTTAAGATGATATAGCATGCCAAAGTGGTTGAAGTGCTTCACATGGGTTTAAATTCTTTTGCTTAAACACTTAATTTTTTTTTAACCTTTTCCAATTTTCTAGAATACAAAGTTAATTATTTTTAATGGCCTATAGATATTATATGCTTTACATATATATAGATATTATGTACTCTAACGTAAGTTTTTGGAGCACTTAGGAACAGTAACTTTCTGTTACTGTTCCTAAGTGCTCCAAAAACTCTTATTCATCTAGTTTTTTTCCTCGAACATCAGTTCTTTGGAATTCGCTTCCTTCATCTTGCTTTCCTGATTCATATAATTTGCAATCTTTTAAGTTGTCTGTCAATCGTTATCTTGCTCTGCAATCTTCATCTTTTCTCTTCCAGTAACTTCTAACACTAATTAGTGGTTGCTTGTAGCCTTGTTGGAAGCAAAGATGTTAAAAAAAAAATAAAATAAAATAAAAGGGGAAGAATTTTTAAAAAAGCTTTTATTTTCTGAAAACATGAGAGCGCTGTTGGAAATATGTTGTGCATATGTCATGATAGAGATACTTATGTTATTAATGTGTTTATGTAATTAGTTAAGTCTGCAAATTTAACACATTAAGGAGACAACTTTCGTTCTTGTAGAAAAAAGATTTTACGTGCAAAATTTAATTTTCTTTAAAATTAACAGGGCAAGAGTCCTAATAAATACTGGATTGTCTGAAAAGAATAATAGAAACTTATTAAAGAAAAATAAAAAGGTCCGCCCCCATTTTTTTTCCTTTTTTATAAAAGTTTTCAATAAGAAGCTGTAAAGTATTGAACATTAATTGTTAACTTGAAACAAAGATTTTGATATTATGCTCTTTTTTAAAATCTATTGAAATAAAGCGAAATTATTAAAATGGTCGTTATGGAATATACTAACCATGACCTGTATTTACAGGTCATGGTAAGTCTGTTATTTTACATATTCACATATAAGTCTATTTCCTCATGTTTTTGAAACTGAAAAAAAAAACAAAAAAATTTTAATACCAATGGTAATTATTTAACACATTTCAAGCGGGTATTCTAAATATCATTTAGACAGGTGCTAATATCCAATCTATTGTTAAATAGCAATTCACGCAACAGCTACCAAAATGTTTAAAGTTTTTTAAAGTTAATTATAGAATTTTTTTCATAGCTTTAAAAAGTAAACAATAAGTGTAGTTTTTCTATATGTAGAAAATAAATATGTAGTTACTTTTCTACCACTATATATATATATATATATATATATATATATATATATATATATATATATATATATATATATATATATATATATATATATATATATATATACCATTTTTAATAGTTTATATTAATTTTACCTCTGTACTTCTGTTGAGAGACATTTTAGCACAACGCAATGCCACAGGCCCACTTGTCAAAATTTCTTCAGCTAATTCAAGTGCTTTTAAATATGCAGCATTACCATAGTGATTTTGTTCAACAGCATAGTTTATTAAACCAATTTTTTCAGCATCAAGAGCCTTTAGAACACGTCCAGTAAATATTAATTCTTTAGCTAGAGGTGTTCCAATTATTCGTGGTAAACGCACAGTTCCACCTGAAAAATTTGTCAATTTATATCAATTTAAAACTACAGAAATTAACAATTAATTTAAAAAATAGCAATAAATTACAATCTAGTAGAAAATAAAAAGTTTATTTGAAATCGTTAATTGTTCAATTTTAGTTCAATGTGATTTTGTATTTGAAATTAATTGAATTTTTTTTTTTTTAAATAACAGAAAAAAATTACTTACTAAATGTTATAAAAATATTGAAGATAATCACATCACATCATAGAATTTTTAACTTAATGAAAATCCTGGAATTTAAATAAAAATCTCAAAAAAATAATTTGTTCTTAAAAAGCCTACAAAATTTGGTGGTCAACAAACTGACAAATGATTGTGGGTAAATTCTAGAAAATTGGAAAAGAGTGGAACAAAGTAACTAAAAAGTACTAAATAATTAAATTTCTTCTATAAAATCTTTAGAATGTTTATTTTACTCAAAAAAAAAAAAAAAAAAACAATAATAAAATAAAAAATAACTATCATATATTTTAACTAATTTTTGTTTGCTTAAAAACATTAAACACTTTAAACTATTTTTACTTTAAATATGATACATAGAGTTTAGCGTAACAAATTTAAGTATATTATTGCAAAGCAAGAACTTGCGCCTACCATTTATTATTTTTTTAAAAATGCAAAAATATACATCAAAGGACTAGGCTGAGCTGTCAAGCTGAGCTGTCAAGTGAAATAAGGAAAAAAGTAGAAAAAGAGGAAGGATAAAAAAATTTAAAAGATCTATTGAACAGATGCTCAGAACAAAATAAAAACACTATAGTAAAGCGTATTATAAAAAAATAACAGAATATAGGCACCGCGTGGCATAAATGATAAACTTAGACTCCTAAGTGAAAATCATGACCCTTCAATTATATAATCTTCAATTAAATAAATTTTTTGAATTATTCAAAAATTGAATAATTCAAAAGATTTTTAATTTTTTATATAATTATTTTTACAAAAAAAAACAAAAAAAAATTAAAAAAAAACAACAAACTAATTAATAGTGGCAATATAAAATAATAAAAAATAAGATAATAAATATGAAATAAAGCAATATGTATAAAAAATGAAGACAAATTATCTGAATATGCACATTTATACACAGTTTCTACAGTTGTTAAATGTTTGCCATATTTACGTGCGTTATATTTAAAACTTGTTTTTAATATTTTTGTCAGTCTCACAAATGTCATTTTGAATTTTAAATTGCATTTTATATTCCAAATTACAAGAACTTATAACTCAAATTTTTTCTCCTAGATAAAAAAAGCTTTTAGACAAAAAAACAGAGAGAAAAATAATTGTAAACTTTTAAAACTGAACCTACATCAATTAACTTCTTACAAAAAGGTTAAGTATAGCTAAAATATATAAAAAAAAAAAGATAAGGTAACTTCTCAGTATCTGAAATAGTTTGAATGAATTCAAATTTTTTTTCAAAATTTTATATACTTTTATCAGAAATCAATTGAAAAAACATCTTGAAATTTGCAGAAACTTAAAAGTTTTTTAAGTGAATTTACGAAATTCTGTAAATGCACAGAAAACAATCATCTGTCACATTAAAACTAAAGTCACCATATAAATCCCCTAAAAACTAAAAATTGTTTTATAAACAATAATACAATTGTGGATATTACCTGCTCCAGGAATAATTGCAAGCTTTGTTTCTGGTAAACCTAATTTGGCAGTGGAGGAAGCAACACGCAAATCACAAGCTAATGCAAGCTCCAGACCTCCTCCTAAGGCAGCACCTTCAATAGATACAATAGTTGGCACAGGAATTTCACTAAAGCGTTGAAATAGCATGCGAGCTTTTGAGACAAACTTTGGAACCTCTGCTTCACTCATTGCTTGTCTTTCTTTCAAGTCTGCACCTATTTTAAGCACACTAAATTATTTTTTTGCACAACAGGCAATCCATTTATCTACAACTTATCTACAATTTCATTAACAAGTTCACTTTATGTTATTTTTTTAATTATTATTTTAGTTTTATCAAAGGAATATGAAAAGCATAATAAAAAATGTTGTCAAAAAAAAAAAAAAAAAAAAAAAAAAGCACAATTTTCAATTGACTTCTGTTCTACTTCTATCTATCTATTACATTAATTTATGTGTTAGTTTGACTGTTTTCTATAAAAGGTTCCACAAAATTGCTTATGATGAACAGTTTAGTCACACTTAAAGTTTTTTAAATAATTTGGTATGATCTAAAAGTTTATATACATAGTCAAAAGTAAGCAAATAAACAAAGTATAGTCAAATAATAGGTACAATGGATGGCCCCGTGAAAATAGAAAAATATTAGAAAAATTAACAATAAAAAGTAATAGAAAAATAACAAAAAAAAATTTGAGAGAATTGCATCAGAAATTTGAGAATTGCATCAGAGAATTGCATCAGAAATACTCTGAAAACAATTAAAACAAAAGATAACATCAAATAACATGCAGAATCAGCAATTAAAAAAAATAATTACTGACCACAAAAAGTATTATCTTTTGTCAAATAAGAGCTAATCAAAAGTTTTCACCAACATAGCAACACATTTAACAAAAACCATGAAAATTGAAAATTTAAGGTAAATGTGAGAAGAACTGAATATCCTATTTATGCAAGAATTTAATTGTATATGTATGTAAGGATAATTCTAGTAATTGGGAGCTGATTGAAATAAATGATTCAACTGGTTTGATATCTTGGATAGAAGGTAGAATCGAAGTGTCTCGGATGCTTTAGGTTAAGGCTATCAAGAAAAAGTCATTAAATAGCCTATTAGTAAGATTAATTAAAAAGACTTACCAACAAAGCAAAGGGAGACAAAACTGTTAAATAGAAAACATTCCAAACAATCATGTATGCCTAGAAATGCATCATAAGGTATCTTACTTGCTTTTTTTTCTACCTTTTTGCTACTTTGTAAAACACATTAAATCATAAATTTTTAAAAATAAAACCTTTTGATTTTAATGTCAAAATGCAAAATAAAATTTTACAGTAAATTATCTATTTTTTAGCTCAAAAATTTAAAGTTAAGTTCAATGTGAAAATTCAAAATTTTCATGTTATTTTTTATGAGAAATTTTTTACTGGATAGAATTTTGTTATTTGCCAGAAAAGGTGATTATCTTATGTACACTCTTCATCATGTTAAACAACAATTCTTAAAGCAATTGACCAATAGCCTTATTTTTCTAGAAGCTATAGACCAATAGTCTTATTTTTCTAGAAGCTATAGACCAATAGTCTTATTTTTCTAGAAGCTATTGACCAATAGTCTTTATTTTCTAGAAGCTATAGACCAATAGTCTTATTTTTCTAGAAGCTATAGACCAATAGTCTTATTTTTCTAGAAGCTATAGACCAATAGTCTTATTTTTCTAGAAGCTATAGACCAATAGCCTTATTTTTCTAGAACTTTTACGAATCACATCAGTTTTTTTTAGTATTCTTACTCCTATTTTTTCATGTCATAATTGTTCAATTTTAGAGTTGCATGTTTTTTTTAATCAAGCTAACTTTTGTTCACATTTGATTTTTTCAGAATGTAGCTGAAATGTATCTTTATATATCTGAAATGTTTTTGCATTTTGATTTTGAACAATTTTAATGAACTTTCATTTTCTTAAACTATGTTGTATTTTAGCTATTTTAAAAGGTATTATGTTACTGTATTTATCAAATACATAAATTAAAACGTAAAATAAATACATAGTTATCTATGAAAACAATAGCATATACAAATAATAATATATTTGCAGTATTATGTATAATCTTTCATTTGAAAATGTGTATTTTTCAAATATTTATCTTTTTTTAAATGTAACTTAACAATTTCAGTTTTTTAGAATGTTGTAAAAGCAATCAAATAATTTACAAGCAAAAACAAGAGAAGTCAAACAAAAAATTTAGAAAAAAAAAAATAGATTTCAATATGTTATTAAAAAATGTAAAGACAATATTGACAACTTGAATAGTTTTAAAAGAACCTAAAGCTACATGGTTCAAAAGATTCGTATCAATTGTGTGTTTTAAAAGAATGCCAACTATAGCTACATTGTTCAAAAGTTTCATGTCAATTGTGTTTTAAAAAATGCTATCAAAAGCTACATGGTTCAAAAGATTCATATCAACTATGTTTAAAAGAATGCTATTTAAAGCTATATGGTTCAAAAGATTCATATTAATTGTGTTTAAAAGAATGCTATCTGAAGCTATATGGTTCAAAAAATTCACATCAACGGTAGGTTTAAAAGAATGCAATCAAAAGTTACATGGTTCAAAAGATTCATATAAATTGTATGTTTAAAAAAGTAAAATTTAAGTTGAATTAAAAAAATTTGCTTTGAACTGAGAAAATTGTGGCAAAAATTTTCATTTCTAACTTTATCCAAGCAACTCCCTGTATCGCTTGGATAAAGTGATTTAAAGTGACTGATTTGAAGACTGATTTGAAAGATATTTGACAAAAAAATGTTATAATATATAGATATAAACACTTAAATAGTTTTAATAATAGTATGTAGATACAAATTAGTTTTGATAATAATAAAACTGTTCATGTCTTAAAAAAATTAGTGTAACTAAAGTACAAAAAAAAAAAAAAAAAAAAATTGGGGACTTAATGCTTGATGTATGCTTCATGTCAACATAATAATCTGAACAGAGTATTAAAATTGGTCATTGATTCTGTATGACCAGGAATATCTACCTCGTCTGATTTACATTACTCTTTTGTTCAACTTTTACTTAAAAATTAAAAAATCTTTTATAGTAACATTTGACAACAATGGTTCTTCTTAAAACTATGAAATTTTAGGATAGTATGATGACACCATCATACTTTAAATTAATTTTCCTAATACCATTTTGCCATTATGTAAAATGTAATTCAAAAGTAAAAAATGTTATTTTCTTGTTAACTCGTCTAGAGAACAACTAGAAGAAACTTGTAAGTTTGTTAGTATCAATTGGCACAAAATTTTGGTTTAAGAAACATATTTTTAAGAAAAATGATTTTGGTGATCTTAATAAAGAAATCAAGTTGGTAACTGCCAGAAAAAGCTCCAATTTGTCTGAAAGACACACTGAACTCATCATCAATTACTGCAGACATTCAGTAAAGCAATATATGCGCTGAATGATGGTAAAAGTTGCTGAAGACTTAAAAACATAATATTTATTTTGTCTAAAGTTAAGATGTAAAAAAATTAAAAATAATTTCAAACTGCAAGTACTAATTCAACATTGTTTTAATTATTATTATTGTTTTTGTTTTTTATTATTAGGTGACTTTTTTGAAAAATTAATGCAAATAAATATGATTTTCATTTATTATACATAAATGTTAATTATGTTAATAAAAATAATATAGGACATATGTATTGTAAAAATGTCAACACTGTAATCAACACGTATCTGCATGTATTTGAAACTCTTTTATTTACAAAAAGTATTTTAAACATAACACAATTAAACCTGGTTTAACAAATTGTAATAAACTTAATAAGAAATTATAAACATATTCAAATAATTTGCTAACCAGCACAAAAAACACCAGGAACAATACTTCTTAGAATTATTGCACGCAAACTGCTGTTATTTGATACAACATTGATGGCATTGTCAAACTAAAAAGTAAGATTTTAAAAATTAAAAATAATTTTAGTATTTTCACGTAACTGTAAAAAATGAATTAATCTGTTACAGTTTCTCTTAAAATCTGTTAGCAATCTTATTTTTCTTATTTTACAGTTGACAAATTGTTCACCCAATATTTATTGACATAATTTACTCAAATTTACTAAATTTACTACTATAATTATAATTTTATAATTTTTTATTGTAAAAAACAATGAGTAAATAAAGTAAGAAATGATAATAAGTAAAATAAACTAAGAAATTTGTAAATTATTAATTGCAATAATTTACTAATTATTCATTCAATAATTAATTTACTAATTATTCTTTCAATAATAAAATAACTAATTATTCTTTCAATAATTAATTTACTAATCATTCTTTCTAATTTCTAATCATTCAATAATTAATTATTTTCTAACAATAATTACTCATATCTTTATTAAATAATTTGTAACTTAAGTTAAAAATTTAATTTATGAAAATATTTAAAATAAATTTTATTTAAGAACAGACCTGGTTACAATAATAAATTCTAGGTTTACACAGCTAACTTTTAAGAGTATAAACTTTTAAAAAAATAAAAAATAAAAATGTTTTTTAAATTACATATTGTTAAGCTTTTTTTTTCTTTCAGAAAAACTATTCTTTTCATGTAGAAAAAGATATTCTTTCACTACAGTATTAATGCTTTTGAAAAAAGAACTCAAAAATGAAGAAAACATACACTAATACCCATGCTTCTTGAAAAATAAATTCCAAACAATTTTTTTATTATTTTATTTACAACTTTAAATCAAAATTTTTAATTTATATTAAAAAAAAACAATTAATGTTAAAATACGGTCCCCTGCTGTATGCAATGAGTAAAAAATATGTTTCCAATAATCTACTTCGTGAATCAATTCTACTTAAGAAAAAAATTGCTCAATAGGAAACAAATAAAAATACAAACATAAAAATATAATATATTTTATAAATAAAAAGCTTGTTATGTAAACATTAAGATAACTTAATGTTAAGTTATACATTACAACATCACAGTATAAAATATCTTGGTATATAATTTATAACAAAAAATCTAAATTTTTATATGTGAATACTATAACTACATTACATAAATTATTCTAGTATAGTTTACTGAAGTATATTATTTTGGTATAGTTAACTGAAGTAAGTTATTCTGATGAGGCAAAATTATTCTGATGAGGCTATTGCTTGGACTATTAAATAGTGTACTGAGCACTATCAGAGCTATGAGTCAAGTTCTTTATCAAATTTTAAAAGGACTTAAGTACCAAAAACTATAAAACACAAAAAACCATCGGCATCACTAAATTCTCTAAATCATTCATTCACTCTTATAGACTCTGATATAATATATTCATATATTATATCATAGTCTTCGAAGTAACTTTTCTTCTGTTCTTTCTGACCATGATGCTCTTCGTGAGACTAATTTGAGTTCGGCAGTCTAATCTTGTGATCTTAGTGTTGATGGTTATCTTCCATTAATTTATAAAGACTCCAATAATCACATGCTTGGCCTGGGTATCTACATTCATAAGCATTTACCCATTTGTTGGAGAACTAGGTTTGAATCCACAGACTATTCTTTTATGTGCATTTGTCTAGCGCCACTTCACTCTATCGCTTTTTTCTTTGTTCTATATTGCTCATCAAGACTGCACTCTTTTCGATGTTATTTCTGATCAAATTGACAAAAACTCTCTCTTTATCCATCAGCCAATATCATTATTGTTGGTGACTTTAATGCTCATCACACTAAATGGCTTGGCTCTAGTGTCAGTGACTTTGCAGGCGTTAAGGTCTACAACTTTTCTCAATCTCTAACATAAATAGTCAACATTCCAACTCGCTTTCTAAACAATCCGAATCATTTACCATATCTAGTCAACTTATGTCTTATTTCTGATCCTTGTCAGTGCTCAGTTTCTCCACATTCACCCTTAGGTGCTTCTGATCACAGTTTGACCTCTCTAAATCTATTATCTCATTCTTCACCATCAGAATCCCCTTATCATCTTACCTCTTACAACTACTTGGGACTAATTTTGTTAATTTTTTTATGATGGCCCTTGGGTAGAAATCTTTTGTCTTTCTGCTGACAAATGTGCTTCTTACACAACTTCTTGGATTAAGGCTAGCGTGGAATCCCCTATTCCTTCTCGACAATTCCAATTCAAGCCACACTCTTCTTTATGGTTTTCCTCTCATTGTGCTGCTGCAATTTCCAATAATAACCATTACTTTCATATATACTAGCAAAATAATTCTCCAGAAAACAGAGGTCTGTTTACTATCGCTAGAAACTATTGTAAAAAGGTTTTGTCTAATGCCAAAGCCCCCTATTCTCAGGTCACAATCTTGTATTTCATCTCAAAAATTCTGTGACTTTTGGAGAATCTTTAACAGCATCTATAACATGGGTAAATCTGTTATTCCACCTCTCTTGTATGGTTCAGATTTTGTCAAATCCATCCTTGTATGGAATACTGTTGCTATTTATGGAGCAGATCTTCCAATGATGCCCTTTCTCTTTTAGACAAGGTGCAAAAACATATTGTAAACATAGTTGGACCTGTTCTTGGAGCCAACCTCCAACCATTATTACATCGTCGTAATGTTGCTTCTTTTTCTCTTTTCTATAAATACAATAATGGGCACTGTGACTGCTCCTAAGTGCTCTAAAGAGCTACCGTCATTTGTACCATATACAGAATAAGAAGAAGAGTACTGTCCATCAAGGACAACTTTTATACTACGATTGGAAAGGAAGGATTCAATAATCTTAAAGATGTTTCCAGATACACCATAAGAAGAAAACTTATGGAGAAGACTAGCATGCCAAACTTTATCAAAAGCTTTAGAAATGTCAAGAGTGATGGCCTTAACCTCTCCACCTTTATCTAATGCGCGATAAAACCTATCGGTTATTACTGATAGCAAATCAGCCGTGGAACGAGAAGATCGAAATCCATACTGATGATCAGAAAGTAAGTTATGAGATTCGAGATGAGAGATTATGTGTTTGTTAATTAAAGATTCAAAAACCTTGCTTATGATAGGAAGAAGACTAATGGGACGGTAGTTAGATGAGTCAGATCGCTCTCCAGAATTTTTAAAAATAGGGATAACAGATGCTGCTTTCCAGCAGGCTGGAAAACAAGACTCTGATAAGCACTTGTTGAATAGTTTTGAAAGGATAGACGACAGCTCCGGAGAACACTTCTGCAAGACTATAACAGGTATGTTGTCCGGGCCGCAAGCTGTAGAAGAGTCTAAGCGGGAAATCACTTTAGATACAGAAGCTGGAGTGATACAAATGTCAAGCAATGGATCAACCTGTTTGACGGGTATATCAGGTAAAACGCAACTAGTGGCATCAAGAGATGATATTGATGAAAAGTTCTTGGCAAACAATTCAGCTTTGTCTTTAGGTGAGGTGACAAAGTCTGAACTGTACAAAAGAGGTGGAATTACAGACTTGCCCTTATTATTGATACTATTAAAGATTCTCCAGAAGTCGCGAGAGCCTAATTTTTGTGATGAAATACGAGATTTCATGATCTGAGAATAGCGGGTTTTGGCATTAGACAAAACCTTTTTACAATGGTTGCTAGCAGTAATAAAGAGACGTCTGTTTTCTGGAGAATTGTTTTGCTGATAGATATGGAAGTAATGGTTTCGATTGGCAATTGCAGCAGCATAATGTGAGGAAAACCATGGAGAAGAGTGAGGCTTGACCTGGAATCGTCGAGAGGGAATAAAGGATTCCATGCCAGCCTGAATCCACGAAGTTATGTAAGAAGCACATTTGTCAACAGGGAGACGAAAGATTTCTACCCATGGGCCATCACGAAGAAAGTCACGAAAAGAGTCCCAGTCAGCTTTAAGGTAGTTGTAAGATGTACAATGATAGGGGGATTCTAATGGTAAAGAAGAATGAGATAATAGTTTAAGAGAGACCAAACCATGATCAGACGCACCTAAGGGTGAGTGTGAAGAAACTTAACACTGACTAGGATCAGAAACAAGACATAAGTCGAGTAGAGAAGGTAAATGATTCGGGTTGTCTGGAAAGCGAGTTGGAAAGTTGACTATTTGAGTTAGGGATTGAGAAAGACAAAAGTTGTGGGCCTTAATGCCTGCAGAGTCACTGACACTAGAGCCAAGCCATTCAGTGTGATGGACATTAGAGTCACCGACAACAACAATATTGGCTGATGGATAAAGAATGACGGCTTGGTCAATATAATCAGAAATAACATCAAGAAGAGTGCAGTCTTGGGATGAGGGAGAGCGATATAGAACAAAGAGAAAGGTGATAGAGTGAAGTGGTATATATATATACATACATACATACAATAAACTTTAATTTACTTTGAATTCATTTTTTTATAACAAACTCTGAAAAGTACCTGCCAGCTATTACTATACCAATCCTGAAAATTTCATTAGCTAAACTTCTTGTAATTAAAACTAAACAAACGCCCTGAAACTAAAACTGTAGTAACTTGCCCTTTGCAAGCTTTTTTCATATAAAACTGTCAAACAGGTTGATCCATTGCTTGACATTCATATCACTCCAGCTTCTGTATCTAAAGTGATTTCCTGCTTAGACTCTTCTACAGCTTGTGGCCTGGACAATATACCTGTTGTAGTCTTGCAGAAGTGTTCTCAGGAACTGTAGTCTATCCTTTCAAAACTATTCAAAACTATTCAACAACTATTCAGAGTCTTGTTTTCCAGCCTGCTGGAAAGCAGCATCTGTTACCCCTATTTTCAAAAATTCTGGAGAGCGATCTGATTCATCTAACTAACATCCCATTAGTCTCCTTTCTATCATAAGCAAGGTTTTTGAATATTTTATTAACAAACACTTAATCTCTCATCTTGAATCTAATAACTTACTTTCTGATCACCAATATGGATTTCGATCTCCTTGTTCTACGGCTGAATTGCTAAC